GTTAGTGAATTGTAATGTTGTTGTTTAATTTAGAAAAAAATGTTTAAAAACTGCATCCATGAGCATTAAAAAATGAAAAAAAAAATCATGACAGCTCGAAGGCCAAGTCATATGTTTTGAACAATTTTCTTGTTTTTTTGTTTTGAACATAGTTTATTGATATCAATCAAAAGGATTGGAAACAAGTTCTAAATAACTTAGTGAATTCCTCTCCTTATATAATACAATATGTCATGCAAAAAGAAAAAAAGTAATACAATCGATACATGAATAAATAGATACAATATAATGTAATACATCATTTGGAGAATCTACATGTTTCGTCAATAAATTTATGAACAGCAGCAAAAATACTGTTATTTATCTGTAAAGGCAAATTAACATCACCACATAATAATACATTAATATCAATAGAAACCAAATCAAGCATGAACAAATGATTAAAAAGAGTACTTCTAGCATTGGAATAATTTGTGCATGCAAAAAAGAAATGATACACATCTTCATTTTTTCCACATAAACATAATGGACTACTTACAATATTTCGTTTATATAGATCATGGTTTAGTATACAGTAATGTCTTAACTTGGTATGAATAATATTTGTGTATCGTTTGCCAAAAGAAAAGTATGGTGGTGGAATATCAATTTTTGTTGTCAAGTTTTTTCTAAATGTTTTGACTGAAACGGCTTCTCTCGTATCTGTTTTTAATAAATTCCATTGTTTTGTAGCGTCAGGTACGAATGAGTTTCTAAATAGTTCTAATCTACACCTAGGAACAATAAAATCTTGTTTGTTACGGGTATTATATGTGGATACATGTTCACGCTTATTGGGGACAATATCTTTCAAATATTCCGGTGCTCGTCCCGTATGAATTTTGTACAAAGTAGTCATTTTAGCAATATATCGTCTGTTTTTTAAAGTTTCCCACCCAGTTTCAGAATAAAGTGCATCTCTAGACACAAATGTAGGAAGTCCGGTTACGATTCTAGCGGCGGTTAATTGTACTTTTTCAAGTTTTTCTGCATCATATTTCGAGCAGCCATCCCAAAAGATCGAAGCGTATTCAAGCATAGGTCTGATGAATGTAATATACAATTTTGTTAAGTTTTTTCTACCCATTTTGAACTTTAACTTCTTTAGAAGGCCTAGTTTTTTAAAGTATTTTCTTATATGGGAATTTTTTTTTACAGATTTAAGGTTCTGCCAAAGGTCAACATGTCCAAAAATTTGTACAATAACCCCAAAACTGTGTGGTTAATAAAATTCAAACTTTTACGGTTCAATATAAATATATCATTGAATAACTAATAGAAAGAAAGTATCCCTTGATAAATACTTTTTAAAAATATATATCGAAAAAAATTATTTTTTAAAATGCATATATTTTTAAACAATACATAAAAGTCTTAATAAATTCCGTACTTTAAACTTTAAAACTTTAAACTTAATACCTAACATGGTTTTGGGGCTATTGTTAACTTGAAATAAATTTTTGGACATCTTGACCTTTGGCAAAACCTTAAATTATAAACTCTTTAAAGCGTTTTTGTAATTTGAAATGAGTATGTAATTAAATGTAATTTTATATATCCTATATTTTTGTTTTTATCTTTTGTAGGGAAAAAGACATTCTTGTAAGCCTTAATTCTGCACAAATTTTGGATTCCTCATCTTTTAGTGAAGAGGATGTTCTGGAATTATTTAGGACATTGCCAATTGGAGAACCAATCAATATGGTACTATTTTGAAATTGTAACCTGAAAAATACTTTTTTAAAAGAGCTTGAAATGATTTGTCCATTTCTTCTTTTTACGGACTTGCTGAAATAATATAAAAGGATGCATTTATACACGTTAAGGTAACTATAACTTGAAACTTGAATTGTCACGTACCATGGTTTGTGTTTTGACTGTTACAGTTCATACCAATTTGTTAGGCCTTTGTTTTATACTCAATTTGACTACGGGTTATTCTTCTAACTATCTAAACATAGGGTTTATAATGTGTGACCGGTCGACAAGGGAAGCTTTCTTCACCAAGGCACTTGACTCCACCTTTGGAATTTCCAAGGGGTCCCTGTTTTATGCCATGTTCATTCATTTATATAGTTTCTAGTGTTTTAACATAGATTACCGTTCGTCTTTTTGACATATTCATGAGTCGGTGTTAAAATCGGTGTTTTATTACTCATAGATAATGCAAAACGATACCGTTCTTTATCAGCGGATCATCATAAACAGTATCCAAATTCCAATGTTAAAGGTTCCCTACAAAAAAAAAAAGAAAATCTACATAACTTAATATAATAAATTTCTTTTTTTTTTCCTTCAGGTATTATATACAAGGACAACAAAACTCTTTGCATTTATTGATTTTCAACTGGAAGCGACCAAACCAGGTGAGTGTAACAAACTTCTTCCCAAGAAGATTTACCGAAAGATTTGTTCAAACTCAAACTCTCCAGAAAAAAAATTGGCAAAATGGAAATTCAAATAACTTACGGAAGCGTATTAGTGCCACTTACACACTTAACTTTTTTTTAATTCGACACTTTAATCTGTAAATTTTACACTTTAAAGTGTAAATTTTACACTTTAATCTGTAAATTTTACACTTTAATCTGTAAAATTTACACTTTAATGTGTAAAATTTACACTTTAATCTGTAAATTTTACACATTAATTTGTAAATTTTACACTTTAATCTGTAAAATTTACACTTTAATCTGTAAAATTTACAATTTAATCTGTAAATTTTACAGTTTTATCTGTAAAATTTACACTTTAATCTGTAAAATTTACACTTTAATCTGTAAAATTTACACTTTAGTTTGTAAAATTTACACTTTTAAGTGCAAATTTTACACATTAATCTGTAAAATTTACACTTTAATCTGTAAATATTACACTTTAATCTTTAAATTTTACACTTTAAAGTGTAAAATTTACACTTTAATATGTAAATTTCACACTTCAATCTGTAAATTTTACACTTTAATCTGTAAAATTTGCACTTTCATCTGTAAAATTTACACTTTAAAGCGTAAATTTTACACTTTAAAGTGTAAATTTTGCACATTAATCTGTAAAATTTACACTTTAATCTGTAAATTTTACACTTTAATCTGTAAAATTTGCACTTTCATCTGTAAAATTTACACTTTAAAGCGTAAATTTTACACTTTAAAGTGTAAATTTTGCACATTAATCTGTAAAATTTACACTTTAATCTGTAAATTTTACACTTTAATCTGTAAAATTTACACTTTATTTGTTTATTCACATAGTCAATTTAGCATCTTCACACATCCTCAGTAACACATTTTTAAGCCAACAGACCATGTTTCGTGCATGATAAAATTTAATTCTGATGTTTTATTTTAAAGTAAAACTTTTCTTTGAATATAAAGTGAAGATCATATCAAACATACATGCACATATTCCCGATCACAGGTGCTTGTGGACCCCCCTACCCAATATAGATTCCAGGGCCTGTTAGACTTTTTTCATACAAATAATATATGGATGACACAATTGTGATATAATCTATCCTATCAATTCAGAAAATTTGCTTAAACTAACCTTTTATAAAAATTTCTACCCCACTCTCTATACTAGTATATAAATTGATTTTTATATATAGAATGTAGAGTAGATATTATAGAATGTCTGTTTTAGGTAATTTTTCGATTTGTTGGTATAGATCTTATCAAAATAGAAAATATCGTATAGAAATTAGTACAGATTAAAGTGTAAATTTTACAGATTAAAGTGTAAAATTTACAGATTAAAGTATAAATTTTACACTTTAAAGTGTAAATTTTACAGATTAATTTGTAAAATTTACACATTAAAGTGTAAAATATACACTTTAAAGTGTAAAATTTACAGATTAAAGTGTAAATTTTACAGATTAAAGATTAAAGTGTAAATTTTACAGATTAAGTGTAAATTTTACAGATTTTTTAATGTGTAAAATTTACACTTTAAAGTGTTAAAATTTACAGATTAAAGTGTCGAAATTAAAAAAAAGTAAAGTGTCCAAATGGCACTAATACGCTTCCGTAATAACTAATTCTCTTCTAATTTTTAACTTATGAATGTCTAGGATATTTCAATGTGTTCAATTATTTCAATATAAATTAATAAAAAAAAAGTTATACATTTTAAACAAAATATCTTTTGTAGCCATAGTAACAGAAGATAGTAAGTATGATTTTTTTATGGATTTAGATTGAATTTATAAAAAACATTTTAAACCTTTATGTCACGCACGTTCATATCCTTTCCAATTTGAAATTTGTTCCGTTATTTCATTTTAAGTATTAAAAAGAATACAGAAATTAAATATCCTCTTTAATATTATTTTTAATTGGAAAAAATATTTAAAGTTACGTATCATATCTCCCAAATTATAAATACATAGATAGTCAGGTGTATGTTACAAGAACTATGTGTTAAAGTATAATCTGATACATAACATTTGTAAGCTTTTCTTGATGTAAATCATTAACAAGAACGGTGTCATATAGTACGACTTCCCCAAATTGAGACTTCACCCAAGAACTGGCTACATATATACTGAGTTTTCTCCTTAGAGGAGAAGGATATATATATATATATATATATATATATATATATATATATATATATATATATATATATATATATATATATATATATATATATATAGCCTGGGAAAATCTCACAATATAGTCAGTCTTCCAGGGAAAGTTCCAATATATAATCAGGCTTTTTGGGGAAGTCTCACTATAAAGTCTTCCAGGGGAAGTTCCAATATAAATCAAGGCTTTGTGGGAAGTCTCACTTTATAGCCAGTCTTACAGGGGAAGTTCCAATATATTGCCAGGCTTTTTTTAGGGGGGAGAGGTCTCACTTTATAGCCAGTCTTCTAGGGGAGGTTCTGCTATATATAGCTAGGCCGAAAGTCTCTCTTAATAGTCAGTCTTGGAGGGAAAATTCCAATATACATGTACAACCAGGCTTTTTTTTTTTTTGGGGGGGGGGGGGAGTCTCAAGAAATTCAATTCTTCTCATTACATTTATGTACATGTGTATCTCCACTATTTTGCAGTTTATTTGTTGTATGTTTGATTCTAATCTGTGTAATGGAGGAAATAAAAGATGAATGAATGAATGAATGGCGGAAGTCTTACCATGGAGGAGTCGTGCTATACAACATCTTTTTTTTATCTGATATTGATTGGTTGTACACTTATTTTAATTCTCATTTTAGTTATGCTAAAGACAGCATATGTGAATTTGACATCATCAGGCTATTTTCCCCCTACGGTTAAAGCTCTGCGGATACCAAATCAATCAAAGTTTCTGGTGTCCGACCAAGGACGTCTCCAATGCAGTCAAGTTACGGACTTCTTAACAGACTGTAAATGTAAGACCGTTTCTATTTCAAAATTCAATGTATGAAATATAGGACGTTTATATCAGTTAGAATTTGTTCATATAACATATATCTTGTGTAAACATTGTTGAATATGAAGATGATGATCATTAATTAAGCTCAGAAGTCCATACAAATCGGAAGTATAAGAAAAACGAAATTCAAAACATCAGAAGTGGGACTAGGTGCCGTTGAGAAGTAAGCATCCCATTTTACCAGTCATACCCACCGTGTGCTCCTTGTCATGATCGGGAAAATACGTAGACAATTCAGTGAGGAAAATGACCTTACAATTTATATGAGTAGCGTCCGTTAACATAAGACTTATATATAGATTGCATTTGCGAACAAGGTCATTGTATCGATCATAAATTTGAAAAATGCCTTTAAATATAGATTGTTGATACCCTTATATCATCAACTTATTTGTCAATAGTTTGTCGCGCTTTACAAATTAATTGTACGTAGAAGATGATTGATGTATCGAATCAACTGGGAGACATTTACTTCATATGTAGATGATTTTGGTATATTGCATATAAATAAGGAAAGTCGATATATGCAGGACTTCCTTTCATTTTTTAAATTTGAATTTGAAACATTAGGTTTTTTTAATATTGTCTTTCATGTGTTTGTATTATTAGGTCATTTCATCGTGAGGAAGTCCCTTAATGATAAGACCTGGCGTTTTGAATACAGATATCAAGTACAGCTAGATCCGCCAAAATATCTCGGCATCAGAGGAAATGCTCTGGACCTGATAGTAAAATTCTCTTATTAGATATAATTCATTTCAAAAGGAAAAAGAATACTATTCTATGTAACTTTAATGCATGTTTTTAAATTCATTGCAAAATAACAATACATTTTATTATTCAATACAGGCTGAATCAGACGAAGGATTAACACAGTTCCAGCAGCAGAAAAGACACGGCCTCGTCTTCTTAAAAATTCCCGGACAAAACGGTAGGTTCTGGTTTAGGCATACAGGGTTATTCTTTTCTTTAATTTTTGCCTTTTTGTTGTATTTAAGAAATCAATATGTCTTTTTTTGAATTCGCCTCTTTTTTTTGTCGAGGGCGAAAGGGTAAAAAATAAATCAGGAACAAAAATATCCCTGGTTGAAATATAGAACTTTTTTCCTTTTTTCGTACAAGGCTTCATAAAACTTCGTAATGCCACACAGGTAATGAAGTGCCTGTAATAAAGCATGTTGATGTGAAACTCTATTTATTTACTTTACTTTAATTTATCTATTATTCATTTATTTAACTACATGTATCATTTATTTATTCATTTAAGTTTTCCGAAGATTTACATACATGAATTGAAATTTAAATAATGTGAATATATACAAAGTAATTCATGTCTCATGGTGAATGGAATGTCAAAGACATGGAGGACCTTATATGTATCGTTGTCTAAATTTCGTTTGTTTTTTAATTATTATTTTTTTTAGATGTGACTGTTAGTTTTAATGAAGACCGTGGTATCTATGAACTTCGTCCATGTGACTGTGAAGCAGAAAATGGAATAAATCTGGAACGTTGTCGCCATGGTTACTAAAAATGGAAATTTCTGTGAAATTCTTTCAAAATGTACACGAACTGTCCAGTGTAGATTTTTGCTGAAAATTTATGAAATGTGATTTGCAAAATGAAAGATAAATTTTTGATATTTTATACGTAAACCAAGAGACAATATAACAGTTTTACTATATTGAAGTTTTTTTATCACTCTTTATTTGATGTAATTTTTATTTGAAAATTTATAACCAGCATCTAGTACAATGTAATTTAAACAAACAAAGTTTATATTTATACACAAAAATACTAGGGCTAGGTTTACTTTTTATTCATATTTCTTTTAAAACTTGTACATACAATTGTGAATTTATAGAGATTTTTTTAAAATATAGATTAGAGCAATTTCTTGGAACATGCATTTGCTGTCTTTTAAATGACTTGTAACAGTTTCGCAGCACGGTTAAGTTTACAAAAAGGAGGCGGAGCCTAATTTGTACGGGAAAACTTGACTATGACATCATACACAATATACGTCATACAACATTTCTTTAAAGTACCACAAAATGAGTTTATCTGCTAATTTAACCAGTAAGAAATCATGAAACTACATAAAAACTTACTACAGCATGTTGTTTTGTCATTAGTTGAATCCCACATAACAAGTTATAAACAAGTCACTGATCGCAATACCGTTATCAATATGACGTCATTTCTTACAACATGACGTAGTTTGTATGCAATGAGAGACAGGTCAAGTAATATTTTCTCAACAAAATATATATTCTCTAGTTAAATAAAATATTATTTAAAAATATTCTATGGGCCAATAACTTAAATTTAATGTCTTCTTCACTATTTTATTAATATATTTTCTGTACATTACGTATTCAATTAACACTGCCGTATATTTGTATGCAAGTACATCGCAGGGTAATGTGAGGGGTCTTAATAAATCGATCTAGTGCAAGGGCATACACTCTATGGATCAAAGTGAGCTTTTACATTTTAATTATAGAACTATTAAGGTATCTGAAAAGTGCTGCGATCCTGATGAAATCTTAAAAACAATTTAATTATATCAATATTTCATGCCGCTGACCAGGAAAAAATATAGCATTCGTTCATACAAGTATAATTTTAACAATGAAATTGCAGAATTTACACAGGATCGCAGCACTTTTTAGAAACTACAATGCGTGTTGAAAATATTTATAAACTAAACTTGGTTATTTAACTTGGTTATGCCCTTGCACTAGTGATATTTATATGTAACATCTATACTTTAAGTCAATGTGCTAAAATCGCGTGACTGTCGCATCACGTGACTAGTCTAAATATAAAATATAACCGTCCTCGATATGTAGTTTTTAATCATAATTACAATTATCCGATAAAAATAATGTACTAAAAATAATCGCCATCCCGATTAAGAATACATTTTTAAATACAAATTTTAGTCGATATTTCCATTGCGCACCTTAACTGTACTGCGTTATTATTAAAACTTTTATACAATTTCATTTTTTTAAAAATATCATACATAAACATATTATATACACTTTGAAACAGTTAGTTATTCCTATATTTCTTTAAAAATATTTCTTTATAGAAAGATTGAATTACAGTGAAATTGTGGCATCATTAAAATTGGGGAGGGTCAATTTTCATGGATACCCACGAATTCAACGAAAATTAATCCTGCGCAAAATCTTATGATATTCCACAGAAATCGAAAATCTTTTCGCATCTTTCAGTAATTTGTTTTATATAGTTCGCATAGTTACTAATCAAATAAATTTCTCAATAAATCAATACTATTTTCCAATTTTGTATTGATTTTGATCGGGATCAGTTTGATTTTGATCGAGATTGGTCAATCTTGTAAAATAGACTTTTTAAAAAATATTTGACAGAAGTGATCTTTCTCATCATCTTTCGAATACGTTTTATGAATGAGAAAATATAGCTACATAGAAATAACTCGAGTAAGTGTTTTCAGTGTACAAAATAAGTTACTTAGAAATCAACCCATTCAGAGTTAAAATTGTCATCATGCAGACACTTTACCTAACGTAGATCCTAAGAAATTATTTAAAACATTAATATTTCAAAACAGAATTAAATTCTTGAATTAAAAAAAAATTCGCTTAAAGATATTAATATTTTTTTAACAAGCTATAAGGAGTAAATATGAAAATTTCAAAAGTCACACAATTGAATGCGACTGAAATCAAATGTTAAAGTGTATGAGAGTTAATTGGGGAAAACTCTTTAACAACCAAAGTTTTTTTTCAACCTTTCGATGATCGATTGAATTATATGATTTAATTAAATTCAGTTTCGTATACTGCAATAGGATTCAAACTAAACTGACATTTTATTTATCAAACCATATTATAGTTTAAAAGTGTATTCTTGGCATTTAAAAAGAAAATGGGGAAAAGGAATCTTGGAAAATACACAATACATGAATATGCCATTTATTGAATTATAAATAAGCAAGTAAACATGGAGAGAAAAAAAAGGTTAAGATCACATATTTATACAATTATGTTGTATGAGATTAATTAAATTTTAGATAAGATTCTATCACAACTAAAATCTAAGCAAAACTTGTTATTTCATTTGCAGTTGCAAATATTTGGTAATGAACATTTAACTAAAGTATATTGAGAAAATAAAATCTCTATGGTATATTTCAATTTTTTAACATAAAAAATATATAAAATGAGAAATATATCTTTGGTTTCCAGCGTATGTTAATGACTATTTACAAGTGTTTATTGCGAATTTATTACGCTTGATTTGAAATATAAAGCCCATGCAATTATTAAAAAGAACAACCTATTTGATTTTGCAAGAAAGTAAAATCTTTTGTCAACTAGAAAATAGACATAAACAAGATGTGTTTGTGAAACATTATGCGCCTGGCGGCAACAAAGTTAAAAAAAACATGTTTTTAGCTTATAGGTCACAGTCAAGGTCACAAGGTCATTGATCTTGGTGTAATTTGAAAGAACTTGATTAGTGAAGTATGCATACCAAATATGAAGTTTCTATCTTTCATGGTTCAAAAGTTATGTTGAAGGTTAAAAAAAAGCTATATTTAGCATATAGGACACAGTCAAGGACACAAGGTCATTGACCTTGATCTCATGTAAAAGGGCTTAATTAGTGGAGTATGCATGCCAAACATTAAGTCTCTATCTTTCTTCATTCAAAAGTTATGGCAAAGGTTAAAGTTTGCCGACAAAAAAAGCTATATTTAGCATATAGGTCACAGTCAAGGTCACAAGGTGATTGACCATGGTGTCATTTAAAATAGCCTAATCAGTGGTGTATGCATATCACATATGAAATCTCTATCTGTTATGGTTCAAAAGTTATGGCGAAGGTTAAAGTTTGCAGAAAAAACTATTTTAGCATATAGGTCATAGTCAAGGTAACAAGGTGTCGTTTGAAAGAGTTTAATTGTTGGAGTATGCATACCAAATATGAAGTCTCTTTCATTCATGGTTCAAAAGTTATGGCGAAGGTTAAAGTTAAAATTCAGTTGATTTTCAAACTATTGAAAATGGGAAATTTTTAAGAGAAAGAAGCTTAAGAATGTTCCTCTTCGTGCATAATAGCAATCTCGAGTATTTTTTATCAGTTTTTAAATGAGTTTACTTGAATATTTTTACAAGATCAAAAAATGAATGCTTATTATCAGATGCACTGCATAGATTTCTAGTAAATTCTAGCAATTTCCAATAAAATGATTTTCGTTACTTGTTAAGGATGTTATCGTTAAAAGCCAGAAAGAATCAATCTATGTTTGCAATTGTCAACAGTCGAGGAGTAAGATTCTTAAAGTTAAAAGTAAGAACACTGCTGCAGAGTCTGCTCTGGTTTGAGAACTCTGAATTCCCAGACAAGTATTGGTCCCATTGTTTTCAATGCCAGCACCTTTAAAAAAAAAGTGAAGAACAGTACGAAAAAGTATAATCTACAATATACAGGTATTCATTCATGTCGTTTAAAAGTAAAATGTTTGAACGCATTTCTTTCATTACATTAAATCCTCAATTGATATCAAAATGACGACAAAAATATTGAATTAATTCCTAATGTTTGCACCTTCAACATGCTTTAAATGACTAGTATTGCTATCTATAGTATAGTACTTATATGGACAAGCATTGCACATGGTAGGACAATCTTCCGGTACATTTGTAAATAAGTCACAGTGATCTATATAATACTTACAAGGACAGACACTGCACATGGTAGGACAGTCCTCCGGTACATTCGTAAATAAGTCACAGTGACTTGGAAACACCTGCTTCCCACACACGAGAGGGTTGTCTGTGTGCTTCGTGCAGTTCACTAAAATAGCAACAATGATAAAAACAACTTTAAAATCAGATCTATAAAAGAATATCTCTAATTAAAAAACAGATTGGGTGTGTATACTCTTACACTGACAGATGTCTCCGACGTAAGTAACAGACGTCAGTTTGCACGTGCATGTGCACGTGTTGGAGTCCAGTCTTCCTCCATTTTCACAAACTTTACCACTACAGTCTATCAAATACAATAGAAATCAATATATAAGTTGATTTTTTTCATGTATTTTTGACTCGTTTAAATATTATTTTGTTCTTAATCAACAGTTCATGCATTTAAAGGGGCTGGGTGGTTGTGGCCATTTTCAAACTACTTTCATCGCCTTCAAAAGAACTCTATATGGGGTATAGAAAAAAAGTTTAAAACTAAAATGCAAAATGATTTTTTTTTTGTCAAACGATATTTGAAAGCTTAAGATGTCATTAAAAAAATAAATTATATCTGGTAGTTAATTTGTTGACTCCCAGCATTCTTAAAAAGGCACAGAATTCAGTACATAAATAGTCAAACTTAGGGTTATTTCAAAGAATTCAAGCATTTTCAATTTTTTCATACAATCTGATAAGTCGAGCAGCTGATTGATTAGACTTAAATATCTATATTATCATTTTCTTTATCGTATATCCCATGCTTACCACATAATTTCCCGCT